AGATGGTTGGGGTATCTGTCCTGCCGGGTACCCCACAACCCGCAAGCCCCAAAGAAAATTACACACAGGACTCCATAAGATTATAAACTGATTGGCCCATTAGCTCAGTCTTCTTATTAACTAATTTTTAAAGCTTATATTAACCCATTATTCTGATCTATGTTAGCCATATGGCTTGGTACCTTTTTCAGCTGGGCAGGTTACATCCTGCCTCTTCGGTGATCTGGGCAGGAATGGCGGAGGGAGTTTCCTGCTTCCCGAATACTCCCAGTCTCTTTGCTCCACCCCTACTTCCTGTCTGGCTTTCCTGCCTATAATGCCTACCTGGCCAAACAGCGATTTATTAAAATATGATTGACACAATACAGACAATTCTCCCACATCAACTGGTGCTCCTGATTGCTAAGTCTTCCCAAAGTTCATCATTACTTAGGACCACCCAGCTGAGCTTCAGGACATTAGCAGTTACCCTACTGGGTGAGCAGAAATCAAATGACTCAGACTGCCCAAGCCTTCCCAGCTCTGCCCTTCCACACTAAGACAGGGCCATAATCTGAGAAATTTGTAGTTTAGTAACATTCTTCCATTCTCCTAGAACATTTCCTGTTCCTCTTCTAAGGCACAGAGTCCTATGTGTGCACATTTCATTGCACACTCAATGTTCATAGCTAGGAGGTCCTGCAACCAAACGCAGGTCACATTCAAAGAGTAACTGTTGGTAAACAAAATGCGGTCAATGAAGAATCTATGGCAGGGCTTACAGGCAGGAAAGAGAGAGTGGAAATGATGTAGTTTTAATCCCCTCAAAATATGTTAAAAAGTTGAAACTGGTCATGTGCTCTAGAGACTATGGATCTGTATGAGAGCACACAAAGTATTACTTATGCCATTTTTCTTGGGGTTATACATCTTAAACCTGGAAAACACAGTCATTTTACGCAGGGCCACATTTTATCCAGTTCTTCAATTTTGCTTGAACTACTGTAACTACAGTAATTTGGTTCCATGAAAATTCAGTTCTTTATCCAGATTCTTGATTGCCTGGTTTATGAAACCATGAAGTGGTCAGTCTGGACATTTATGGAACATCTGAAATTGATTCCCTCACTACGCACTGCTAATGTCAACTACTGTCGCAGCAGGAGAGTTTTCACCCTCCTTGCCCATTCTTTTGTGTGCTGTGACTATACTTGCTCAACAGTTGGCCAGTGAACTCAATTCTCACATAGGTCCCACTTCATTTGTAAATTCACAATAAAATCTAGAGAAGTTGGAGGATACTCAATCACTGGTCTATTTTTTTTCTTTCCACAAACCAGTCAACATTTAGCCTGGAGGAATTGCAGAGCTGGCTTCCCAGCACTGAGCAGCAGAGGCAGGATTAGGTGTTCAAAGCAATTCTCAATTATATAGTGTGAGGCATGCCTGAGCTACAGGAGACATTGATTGAAACCAGTAGTTCTCAACCTTCCTAATGCTTTAATTCTCTAATACAGTTCCTCATGATATGGTAACCCCTCCCAGTCCCAGCTATAAAATTACTATCACTCTTGCTACAGTTATGAATTATAAAATAAATATCTGTGTTTTTCAATGGCTATAAGGCCAGTCCTGTGATAGGGTCATTTGATCCCCCAAAGGGAGCTGTGACAGGTTGAGAACCACCCCCTAAACTGATATAAATAAATAAATAAATAAATATAGCACTTCAGAAAAAATGGAATGAAATTCTTAAATCAGGACACATTGGAAAATAGAAACAAATAGAGATTAGAGCAATAATGCATTTAAAGAAAATGAAAGTTTAAAAAAATGATACCAATAATTGACTTTTTAAAATGACAAAAGTAATTGGAAGAACACTGCTGAGTGCCTTGCTCTTAAAGGGTCCGATGACCTGGGACAGATGTGTGAAGTCTTTGAAAGGAAGAATAGTCTGACCACCTGTTTCAAACAAGTGGCCCCAGATAGCCTGAGTCATTTTTATTTATACTGTTTCAATAGTTTGCATGAACAGTTTTACAGTCATATTTGTTTCCTTAAGTTTCTAATAATAATTACAATAATGCCAATTTGTTCTCTTATCTCCTTCCCTTTCCGTCCCTCAACTTCTCCACCAGTAATCATTACCTACTTGATTTGTAGCTTTAATATCAGAAGCATAAGCAGTATAGCAAGCAACAAAAGAAGTTTTCTAACTAGGCACACCTACAGGTGGAACAGTGTGCCCAGTTGGCAACATTTGCAGTCACATCATGATGCAAAGTAAAAGAGAATTTCAGCTCAAATCTAAAATCAACTCAGTCAAGGCTGAATAACTTAAGTCTATATTTTATACTACTCTATCTCCTATTGGGGACATACCAGGCTTCTTCCTATCACCCTGTAAGCCACATAACTAAAAGGTTTGCTCTTAACAGTTGGCACTGCTGGTATCCCTCATTCTCATACCCCTTCCTCTCAGCTTCCTGCAACACTGGCTCCTGCAGTATTGACACAGTTAGAGAAATGAGGGCATTGTGGGTTTCTAGGATTCTACTTCATTCCCTGTTCTTAAATTCTTCCCATTAACTCTTGATATCATCTACTCGTTTGCATTACTCTTGAGACTCCTGTGGTTAGAATCATTCTCTCCAGGACAACCGAGCAGACATGGAATGTCTTGAACTACTGTGGCTCTTTCAGACTACTCACAAGGTGCTTTGGAAAGGCAGCATCCTGTTCTCGAGAATCCTGAATTCAAGGTAACACTTGAAACAACAAAGGCTTTAAGAGCTGAATCAGATCCACTGTATATTTTTAACAACATTCCCCTCTGGCTCACCCAGAGGAGGATCATCAGGGGAAGGTTTTCCTAATAAAATACTCATTTCGTCTATCGCTCTAAGAAAGTGAAACTAAAGGCAATCAACAATAATTTTTGTAAGGAAAGCAAGGAGAGCAGGCAGCAATATGTTCCTGGAGTCGTGCCCAGAATTACACAGCAAACTATCTATTGGCCTTACCAAAAATGTTTTAAATTTTCCTAGGCCTTGCCAAAAGGAAAACTTATTCATGTTATTCTCAGGCCTTGCCGCCCAGTGAAGTCATATGGTTCCCGGCACTAATGAGTGCCATTAATAAGAGACTGTATGACTCTGTCCCATGTAAAATGTTAGCTGCTGAGTGCTGTAAGCTGACACAGATTTCCAGCCAATGGCCTGTGTCTCAAACCTTTGAGCGAACTTACTGTGTCAACCAGGATTGCACACATCTGCAAAGCAGAGCTCCACAATTGGAAACTGAATACTCAATAGTTCAAGCTACCCTCCCTAAATTGTACACCCATCAATTCTGTCTGTCTTCATTCACATGGAAGGAATTAATGCATGCTGGGAAATTACACAGAATGTTATTCACCCTGTCCTATCAGGTCATTCTTTATGATGAAGACCCCTGCAGCTTCAGTCTGTGATCTAGCTATTGTCTAGTACATTTCCCCCTGCAGTGTATACAGTACACTGATCTTCTTCCATTCTACAGGGAGAAGCCATGCTCCACAGGGAAATCCTTTTCCTGTCACTGCAATGGATAGCCCACTATGTGACTCAAACTGGTAATTTTAGAACTGTGGTGCTGCAGACCTGTAAACTAAGGATTGAGGGTAGTCAGTCGGGAGGAGAGCCAAGGGCAATGCCCTGTGGGGCTACAGACAGGGTTCATGTCCACCTCAATCAATATGGAAGACCTTGACTCAAAATGATTTTCAAAAAAGACTAGAGATGCAGCTGTTCTAGAATTAATATACCTTCATGGCACACCAGGACTTAATGTTGACTGTACCTGGAATGGCCCCTTGACAGCATTTAGAGGTCTGTCTTTTAATGAAGGGATGGGCCTTTCTGCTGGCTGTAAATCAGGGTTGTCTCCCTTGTTATGGGAATTCAGCTCTAAAGGTGGTTAATACTGTTTAACAAACTTTCCATCTTCCCATACCATTCTCTAGCAGGCATAGTTAGTGTACTACTTATCTTTGGGGTATTTGGGATGGAGCCCGCCCTTACCTAAATTCTACTTTGTGACTTAAGTTCTCCTAAGAATGGGTAAATCCTTATACCATCAGTTCTGTTACAATTACTTCTACTCTTCTACATCACAGTTTGGCCGTGGAGTGCTACTCTATGTGATGTTAAGTTGGGAGCGTCACCCCCGCCCTTGGCATCCATCCCAGCCCCCTGGCCTAGGAGTTGCGTTGGTCTGGACTCCAAATCCCAGCATTCCAGGGAGGGTTCAGGACCACTCCCACAGGGTGTTTACATGGGCGCCCAGAGGAAGAACACGTGGTCCCGGGTTTTGCACGTGCTCCTCGGTTTTCTTTCTCCCCTGCCGTGCTCTGCGCCCCCCCCCCCCCCGAAAGTGTGCACTTAATAAAACATGGGCATTTTAATTTGGTTTGATTTGACCTGATTGGATTTCTTTGCGCCGGCGGAGCTGCTCGTCTTGGGACGTTTCCTAACACTCTACACAGGAGATAATCGTTTACAAGCCCCACAAAATTAACTCCAGGCGGATCCGAAACCTAAATGTTAAATGTTAAAACTGCAGAACTTTTGGAAGCTGCTAGAGATCAGGGTTCTCCGAGCTTGGCAAATTTGCCTTCCACACTGACAATACCAGGACTACAGGCGCCTGCCTTTCATAGTGACGTCAACAACAAGGATATTTCTAAGTACCGTCCTGCTCCCAAAGCTGTGTGCAGATGCAGCCGGCGGAGTGAGGTTATTCAGGGGCTGCCTCCCTGGGCCAGGGAGTTGCAAGGATCACGCAGGACCACACAGAACCAGCAGGAACACGCCGAACTCTGTGTCTAGCCCCCAGACTCCCAGCAAACCAAGGGAGGACTCACCAAACCACCTCTCGCAGCTCAGTCAGCCGCGCCACACAGTCTAGAGACAGCATCCTCTTTCTCACCAAGGCCAGCCACTTCTCCCTATCCGTGGAGAACAGGCTCTTTTACTCACCATGGTGCAGCAGCCAAGCTAACCCGCCTTCTCACCAAGGTGGAGCCCAAAGCACAACACACGGGACAACTTCCGACTTCCACAGGAAACAAGCTTTGGCTCCCAGAAGTACCCTCCCATCTGACTGGTGGGTCCGCAAGAGGCTCTGATTGGAGAGTGAGGCCTGAATGACAGGACCGGTGAGCTGAAGGCAGGATGCACAGTAGTTCCTAGCCCTGGCTTCCAATCTAAGGACCTACCTATCCAGGTTGGCTGGAGATTTGTGCCAAATTCAACACCAATGGGTTCAGTTTTACAAATTCAGAAGGAGGCTACTCAGATAGGTTTGCACAAGAGGAACACTGGGTAACTCAAGGGCATTATAAACTAGTCCACAGTGGCCTTGGGATGAATAACCACAGCCCCAACTGTAGAAAAAACGTGGGTTCTCAGGATCTGATGCCACCCCTCTGCCAAAGACCCTGGCCCCAGATCATTACCAACTCTACCAAGCAATTTCCTAGTTTTAGAGAAGGCGTTCTCTTACTTTCTCAATACATCAGGACCTTAGATAAAAATTCCAAGGACTACATAGGTTGCCAAACTCAAAGGGGCCTAGTTTCAAGTGTCTTCTAGAAGTTCTCCACTTCAAATTTGACGTTTAGATGTAAAATTCATTTGGAGTTAATTTGTGGAGGTTGTAAATGCATCTCAAATACTGGGTAGCACGCCACTACTAAGCTGTGATGTAGAAGAGCAGAATTGGTGCTATAAAGGATTTACCAATGATTAGGAAGGAAGGAGATAGTCACACAAAGTAGAATTTAGCTAAGGCAAGGCTGGCTCTAAAATAACACAAAGATAAGTAGTATGTTAACAAGTGCTGTTAGAGATTAGGACGCTAGGATGTAAATGTTCATTTACCTTTTTTTTTTGTTAAAAATTTCCACCTCTTCCCCGCCTCCCTTTTCCCTCCCCCTCCCCACCTCCCCTTTCCCACCTCCCCCTCCCTCTCTAGTCTTAAGAGCAGTCAGGGTTCCCTGCCCTGTGGGAAGTCCAAGGTCCTCCCCGCTCCATACAGGTCTTTAAAGGTGAGCATCCAAACAAACCAGGCTCCCACAAAGTCAGTCCATGCAGTAGAATAAAATCCCAGTGCCATTGTCCTTGGCTTCTCAGTCAGCCTTCATTGCCAGCCACGTTCAGAGTGTCCATTTTGATCACATGCTCCATCACTCCCAGTCCAGCTGGCCTTGGTGAGCTCCCATTAGATCAGTCCCACCGTCTCAGTGGGTGGACACACCCCTCGTGGACCTGACTTACTTGCTCATGTTCTCCCACCTTCTGCTCCTCATTTGGACCTTGGGAGCTAAGACAAGTGCTCCAATGTGGGTCTCTGTCTCTATCTCCATCCATCGCCAGATGAAGGTTCTATGGTGATATGCAAGATATTCATCAGTGTGGCTATGGGACAAGGCCAGTTCAGGCACTCTTTACTCTGCTGCCCAAGGAACACTCTGGGGACCTCTTCATGGACCTGGGAACCCCTCTAGAGTCAAGTCTCTTGCAAACCCTAAAATGGCTCCCTTAATTAAGATATTTACTTCCCTGTTCCCATATCCACCCCTCCTTCATCCCACCTATCCCATTCCCCCAAGCTCTCCCGAATCCCCCCTTCTCCCTTCTCTCTACCCATCTCCCCTTACATTCACCCCCTCACTTCCCCATGCACCCACGTTTTGCCTGGCAATCTTGTCTACTTCCAATATCCAGGAGGATAACTATATGATTTTCTTTGGGTTCACCTTCTTATTTAGCTTCTCTAGGATCACGAATTATAGGCTCAATGTCCTTTAATTATGGCTAGAATCCACTTATGAGTGAGTACATACCATATTTCTCCTTTTGGATCTGGGTTACCTCACTCAGGAAAGCGTTTTCTATTTCCATCCATTTGCATGCAAAATTCAAGATGTCATTGTTTTTTACTGCTGAGTAAAATTCTAATGTGTATATGTTCCACACCCTCTTTAACCATTCTTCTATTGAGGGGCACCTAGGTTGTTTCCAGGTTTTGGCTATTACAAATAGTGCTGCTATGAACATAGTTGAACAAATGCTTTTGTAGTATGACAGAGCATCTCTTGGGTGTATTCCCAAGAGTGGAATTGCTGGGTCGTGAGGTAGGTTGACTCCCAGTTTCCTGAGAAACCTCCACACTGATTTCCACAGTGGTTGCACAAGTTTGCATTCCCACCAACAATGGATGAGTGTTCCCCTTACTCCACATCCTCTCCAGCATAGGCTATCATTGGTGTTTTTGATTTTAGCTATTCTGACAGGTGTAAGATGGTATCTCAAAGTTGTTTTGATTTGCATTTCCCTGATGGCTAAGGAGGTTGAGCATGACCTTAAGTATCTTTTGGTCATTCGAAGTTCTTCTGTTGAGAATTCTCTGTTCAGTTCAGTACCCCATTTTTAAATTGGGTTAATTAGAGATTTAGTGTCTAGTTTCTTTAGTTCTTTGTATATTTTGGAGATCAGACCTTTGTTGGATGCGAATTTGGTGACGATATTCTCCTAATCATAGGTTGCCTTTTTGTCTTAGTGACAGTATCCTTTGCTTTACAGAAGCTTCTCAGTTTCAGGAGGTCCCATTTATTAATTGTTGCTCTTATTGTCTATGCTGCTAGGGTTTCTCCTAGGAAGTGATCTCCTGTGCCCATGTGTTGTAGACTACTTCCCACTTTCTCTTCTATCAGGTTCAGTGTGGTCAGATTAATACTGAGGTCTAATCCATTTGGACTTGAGTTTTGTGCATGGTGATAGATATGGATCTATTTTCATTCTTCTACAGGTTGACATCCAGTTATGCCAGCAGCATTTGTTGAAGATGCTTTCTTTCTTCCATTGTATAGTTTTAGCTCCTTTGTCGAAAATCAGGTGTTCATAGGTTTTTGGATTAAGTTCTGGGTCTTCAATTTGATTCCATTGGCCAACATCTCTGTTTTTGTGCCAATACCAAGCTGTTTTCATTACTGTAGCTCTGTAATAGAGTTTGAAGTCAGGGATGGTAATGCCTCCGGAAGTACTTTTATTGTATAAGATTGTTTTGGCTATCCTGGGTTTTTTGTTTTGCCATATAAAGTTGATTATTGTTCTCTCAAGGTCTGTGAAGAATTTTGATGAAGGTGGCACTTGCTGCCGTGCCCAAAGAGCCTGTTGCTGCTGTGCCGTCTGCACACCCATCTGCAAGCCCTCTGCACCCCTTTTGGCCACCTAGTCCCGACAAGCCCTACCTGCTCAATGCTCCTGAACCTGGCTCAGTCATACCAGATCAAGTCAGGTGGCCGACCAGCCCACCCATCAATCCCCCTGCCAGCTGGGCCCTCCTCATTCCTCTGCCACAGCCTGGAGCAAGGATCCAGAGCCAGAAGTGTCCAGCCTTCTCTGCCTTCCATCTCCTTCCTCATTGAACACCCTCATTGTGCCCCAACGTGCCCCTCATTCCTGCAAATCATTTGTGTCCCCAGTGGAGGAGGCATGGTGCTTGGTGTGGGAAGATGGGTGCCTGGGTTGTGTGTAGGGGTGGGGGTGGGAATGTAGTGTTGTGGGATGGGGTGAAATGCTGAGTTTAAGACCATGTCCGGGCTGCAATTTGGCTGCTCTCTTTTTTTTATTCTGAATGGGTGTGTCATGCTTTGTTGATACTCATTGAGTCTTGCTCCTTTATGAATAAGAGAGAAGAGGAGTGGATTGGGGGGTGAAGAGGACATGGGGGGAGGGAACTGGAGAAGAGGAATGGGGTAAATCACACTTGGGCTATAAAATCAATGAAAAAATTATTTTAAAAAGATTTATATTATCTATAACCATATGATGTCAATTTTTCTGCTTTTAGTCTTGTACATACATATGCATGCAGGTGTCTAGGCAGGCCAGAGAAATGGGATCATCTTAACAGGAATTACAGTAGGTTGTTAGTCTCTGCACTAGAGTCCTGGGAATGAACTTTATTTAACTGAAGTGCTGCTTTCTAGACCAGGCTGGCATTTAAGTTGGCTCTACTCTGGTGTAGGAGGACCTGCTGTATTTGTGTTGCTTTCATTTTTTGAATAAAGGAACTGTCTTGGCCTTTTGATAGGGCTGCCCTTAGGTGGGTAGAGTAGACAGAACAGAATGTTGGGAAGAAGGGAAGTGTGGCAGACGCCATGGCTCTCCTGCCTGAGAGAGACTGGTTATACTCATGCCGGTAAGCCAGTCAAGTTTCGATACACATTAATGGAGATGGGGTATTCAAGGTATGAGAGTTAGCCAATAAGAAGCTAGAGCTAATGGGCCAGGCAGTAATTTAATTAATCCAATTTCTGTGTGGTTATTTTTGGGGCTAAGCTAGCCGGGAACCAGGAATGCCACAAGCTCCTCCTACAATAGATTGGCCCATCAACATGGTCAACTAACGCCACATAAAACCTGAGAGGGCTTTAAAAGAAATTCTAGACACAAATATAGAGTTTAACACAGCCTTTTGCTGTTTGCTGGTAGGGTGCCACAGAGAAACTTTCCCGACTCAGCAATAGCAGCAGGAAAAAAAGCTGCACCATTTTAAAACACGGCTTCCTGGGTTGTGCCGCTGGTACAAATGCAAGCTCTTAAGCATTTAAATGGCATTAGTGGGCCCGGATGTTTGTGTGCCCACTCTGGATCAGGAACAAAGTACCTGAGACCATGCCTTCGACTTAGCGCTCCTTGCCTGAGCAGATGGCGGGATCAGCATTACTAGGCATGCACAAGCAGGAGAACATGGCAAATTTCTGCCGCCATACAGAGAGATGTTTCCAGGCTGCACAGTGCTCTGTGTGACAGATTTGGCTGTATGTGCTGCATGCTCATTCTCAGAGTTAAAGTGCTGAGTGCAGCTTCTGCCTGGTGGCCCCAGAGCTAGCAGAAATGGTAGGGTCACAATTTTGAAATTGGAGAGAGGTGGAGCCATCATCCAGAGCGGCCGCAACCTAGCTGCTGAGCATTTTAAAAGCTCTTCAAGAGAGTAGAGAATTAAGGACAATGCAATAGGATAGCTTCAGACATAAAAGACCTCTGAATGGGTCATACTGTTAGATAAAGTTGTAGGCTTGGAAGAGAAGAAAGACAGTATTGAAAGTCATAAAATAAAGTTAATGCTTTAAAAAAAGGGTAAA